GGAAACTCATTTCACCTTCCATTTTAATGGAAAGCTTTGTTGGATAGCATAGTCTTGGTTGAAGGCCTTTGTTTTTCATTACTTGTAGCATTTCCTGCCATTCCCTTCTGGCTTGCAGTGCTTCTGTTGAGAAGTCAGCTGCTGGTCTTATTGCAGCTCCCTTGTATGTTACTTCCTGTTTCTGCCTTGCTGCCTTTAAGAGTCTCTCCATCTTGGAATTTTGCCATTTTAATTATGTTCCTTGAAGTGCCTCTTTGGTTTCCTCTTGATTGGGACTCTGTGTTTCCTGGGTTTGTGTGACTTTTTCTCTCATCAAATTAGGGAAGTTTTCCATCATTACTTTTCAAACAGGTTTTCTATTCCTTGCTCCTCTTCTTCTCCTTCTGGTATCTCTATTATATAGATATTATTAGGTTTCATATTGTCTTGCAGTTCCCTTAACCCGTTTGGTCTTTTTGAGTCCTTTTCCTTATCTTGCTTTTTCTGGGAGATTTTTTCTTCCTTGTCCTCCAGCTTGCTGTTTCAATCCTCTGCTTCATTAGCCTGTTTGATTCCTTCTATTGTGTTCTTCAATTCAGAAATTGTATTCTTCATTTCTTCTTTGCTGTTGTTGATAGTTTCCCTTTCCTTTTTCATGTTGTTATAGTTTACAGTAAATTCCTCATTATTTCCCTGCAATTTTTGGTAATTCTCAGTGAGGTCAGTGAGCTTTCTTATAAGCTTTGTTTGAAGTTAATATCTGATAGTTGACTCATCTCTATTTTGTTTAGTATTTTTTTCTGAGGATTCCTTATTTCCGCACGTTTTAGGTTTGTCTTCCCATCGTTTGTGAGACTCTTCTTGTTTGCCTCTGCTTCTTAAATTGATCTCTTATGAATCCTTGAGTTTGTAGTGTGAACTATTGTAGGAAACCTGTGAGATTCAGTGGTGCAGTCTCTTTGGTCTCCTGAACTTGATGGTCTTGGGATGCCATTTATGTTGACTCTCTTGATGTAAGTGGATTTTGATTATTGTTGGGTCATTCTTTGGTGGGTCCTTCCCTCCTGCGGGTTGATTGAGGGTTACTCCACCTACCACATGTTGTATGTTGTTGTGCAGGTGCTGCCAGAACAAAACCACCAAGCTTGGGGAACAATCCCACATCTGCAAAAATATCCCCTCACCCTGCAATCTCAGTATCAACTGCAAATGAATCAGTATTAATAAGAATGTAAAGAGATAAGACTATTATAAGAAAGGAGAGAAATAAACTACAGTATAAATTCTAGTAACTTAATATGCACAATCTTGCTGGACAAGAAATGAATGTTAAAAAACTATTTGGGAAAGGAAATATTGCTAATCATGGAGAAGACCCACAGTGGGCTTTGTCTTGGTAGCCTCTAGTATTTACCACTGGTTTTCCTTTCTGGGTCTGCCTCTGGTTATGTCAGATGTTGACCCCATTAGACCTTAGGCAAGCTGCTGAGACTTTCAGGGATCTACTGTCTTTGGCTGTCTCCTTCAGTTGTTCAACTAGTCATCTGCACTCAGTAGTGAGGCATAAGTCCCACATGGAGGGGCAGAATCCCTCTTGGGATTGGGGTTATCATTTTCCTTCAGGGTGCTGCTGCCCAGAAGGGAGTCTACCAAAGCACAACGCCTGCTGCTGTATGGGGGATGACTTAGCACTGGCATCCCAGTGTCTATTCCCTCAGCTTTCTCCCCAAAGCTTCTATCACCAGTCTCTCCTCAGGCATCTCTATCCCACTCTGCCCTTCCTTTTCCAGAGCCCTGGGAAGTAGCAGCAAATGAAAATTTGTGTGCTGGCCCTTTAAACAGCTCTTTGTGTCTCCAGCCCTCCATCTCTGGCAGAGAGCAACCCTACTGCTTTTCACTGTCCATTGATATCTATGTACTTTTTGGGTTGTGGTGCTCTAGGCTGGGGGTCCTAGCTTACTGTTTAGACCCCATTCTTCTCAGGGGGATCCAACCTGCCACTTAATTATCCCTATGGCACCGCCACCTGTGGGCATCCAGCCAGTCCTCTCGAGTGTCCACCACACTCCTTACCAGTTAGCGCTGAGGTTGATTTTTCTGTCTGTCCAAGGTTATAAGACTTCTCTCTCGCTATTGTTCAGTTGTTTGTTCTGAGTGATTTCTCCACAATATAGTTGTAATTCCAGACTTAACCTTTCTTTTAATAGTTGTTTTTTCGATTGCAGTTGACATACAATATTATATTAGTTTCAGGTGTATGACATAGTGATTACATATTTACATAACTTACAAATGATCACCATCCAAACCATCACACTTATTACAATATTATTGACTATATTCCCTATATACTATATTCTACATCCCCATGAATATTTTTATAACGGGCAATTTTCACATCTTAATCCCTTCCCCTTTTTCATTCAGTCTCCAATGATCCTGCCTTCTGGAAACAATCAAAATGTTCTCTGTATCTGTGAGTTTGTGTCTATTTTCTTTGTTCGTTTGTTTTAAAGATGCCATATACCAGTGAAATCACATGGCTTTTGTCTTTCTCTGACCCATTTTACTTAGCATAATACTCCCTAGACCCATTCATGTTATTGCAGATGGAAAGATTTCATTCCTTTTTATAGATGAGTCTTATTCCATTGTATATATGATAATCACTGGACACTTCGACTGTTTCCATATCTTGGCTATTATAAATGCTTCAATGAACATAGGAGTGCATATATCTTTTTGAATTAGTTTCTGGGTTTCTTCTGATAAATACCCTGAAGTATACTTGCTGGGTCCTTCTTTGTCTCATGTTATAACCTTTGTTTTAAAGCCTATTTTGTTTGACATAAATATTACTACCCACCTTTTTTTTTTTCATTTCCAAATGAAATGCCCTTTTCCATCTCTTTACTCTCGGTCTATCCTTCAGTCTATCTTTTGATCGGAAGTGGGTATCTTGTAGGCAGCATATGTATAGGTCTTGTTTTCTTATCCATTCAGCCACCCTATGTCTTTTGACTGGAGCATTTAATCTATTTACATTTAAATTATTGATTGGTATGTAGTTATTACCATTTTATTATTGATATTCCTATTCTTCCTCCCTCTCCTCCTCCTCTAACAATACTAGTTTGGAGGTGGTGATCTTCTTCAGATTTTTCTTATCTGGGAAGCTATCTACTTCTCCTTTGACTTAAATGATAGCTTTCCTGGGTAATCTTGGTTATAGGCCCTTGCTTTTTATCACTTTGACTGTTCTGTGCCAATTCCTTCTGACCTGCAAAGTTTCTGTTGAGAAATCAGCTGACAGTCTACAGGAACTGTTTCTCTTGCTGCTTTTAAGATTCTATGTCTTTAACTTTGCCATTTTAATTATGATGTGTTTTGGTGTGGGCCTCTTTAGGTTCATCTCATTTGGGACTCTCTGTACTTCCTGGACATGTATGTTTATTTCCTTTACCAGGTTAGGGAAGTTTTCAGGCATTATTTCTTCAAATAGGTTCTCAATCCCTTGCTCTCTCTTTTCATTCTGGCACCCCTATGATGCAAATGTTACACTTGATGTTGTCCCAAAGGTTCCTTGAACTACCTCATTTTTTTCGATTCTCCCCCCCCGCCCATTTTGATTGGGTGTTTTCTGCCATCTTGATATCAGCACAAATTAAGCATTTGTGTTTTGCTTTGTAAGACTAAAGCATATTCTAGCTCTTCACTGAAAACTAGAATCTACTAACCTCACGATAATGAGTGCCATGGGCATTACACGGCATCTGCTTCTCACACTACCCGACTCCCACCCTCTTAAGGCAAATCTTATTTTTAATAGTCTAGGTACAGAGCTTATTATACACACTATTCCACACCCTTCTCTTTCACTCAACAATTCTAGCTTAGAACTTGGCTCCTACTAATATACATATTCATTTCATTAATTTCATTGTCTGCCTAGAATTCCAATGCAATAGTCCACCTGCAATAGTCTTTTGCTGTTACAATCTCTGTGTGTGTGTATATACACCCATTTATATATACTTTATAAATATATTTATCTAATATTAAAAACTATACACATATATAACACATATTACAAACTTCATATATACATTTCTTGAAGAAAAATACTATGCAGACACGTACATTGTTCATACACAAATATAAACAATATTTAACTATATGAATATATATTGTAATTATGAAAATGATACTTTACAAATTTAGACTACTGTTTATACAAACAATACCAATATCTGCAAAAAAAATTCTAGACGTAAAATTGCTGGCATAATGATCACTCCTCCTTGAATCATGTATTCCAACTAACAAGAATGATCTGAAGTCCCCAGTTAAAACCAAGACTCTTTCACGCTCTTGTAAATGTTGTTCCCTCTTCCTCTAACGCTCTGCTGCCATTCTAATTGGATATGAATTCCTGTTATTCCTACAGGAATTCAAGTGTTACCCTCTGTGAGTCCTTCTCTTACACATTCTGTACATTCATAGGCCACCTGCAATCCCAAGCAGACCTAACACACCTTCCTCTAGGTTCTCACTGTATCCAGTTAATGGTCACTCTTCACAATAACTGCCCACACAAAACAAACCTGTCCCACCACTATATATTCCTGGAGAACTAGGGCCTGTCTTTTCATATATGTAATTCCACTTAACAAATATTTCCCCAATGACTGAATGGATAATATTTGCCCATTGATTTAATGGATGGTTAAATGAATGAAAGAAGGAAACAAAGCCTTCAGCTTCCTTCTCCATCCTAACAATCGTTTAAGGACCAACTTAATGACACTAATTCTAGTATCCAAATTCTCCCATCAAAGAGGACAGATATATCTTCTCCACACCGAGTACAGGTTCTATATATACTTTATTTTTACTGAATAAATAAAATACCTTTAGAAGGTATCTACCATTGAGGCCTGCTGCAACAAATACTCTACAGTATGAATCTAAAAGAAAGCTTCATTTAGGAACCACTATTTTAAGTTATGAAAATAACTTACCAGTTACCTGTAACTGTAACCTTCCACTGTGATTACTAGTATCAGACCTTGGTGAAGCAGTGGCCATGTCCCACAATTCAGCTTAAACCTATAAAAAATTCAATTTATTCATGTGAACAATAAACAGGAGATTGTAATTTTCAATATGATTAACACTAGTTAAATCAATTAAGAAACCACACCTGATATATATTTTCAACCCATCACATGCCGATATATTAAGCTGTCCATCATTTAAAATTAAGACTTAGTACTATAAGCATTACAGATGAATATGGCCAATAAACCATATGAGTCAATGTGAACAAAGTATTCCTGGTGATGTGTTGACTTTTCTATTTATCACTTATTATAATATTTATGTATATAGGAAGGGGGACCCCAAAAAACCCCAAGAATTATTTTCCAGAGGACAGGCCACTTGTAGTACAGGCTTCCCCCGCTAGGTGAGTATTCTAGTAATACATCTGTATCAGTGCACCAGCTGGTGGTGTTGTGAGAAGTTACATTTAGCTTCAGTGAATTTTTTTTTGAAGACCCTTTCAACACATTTGCCTGTTTCATGACAGATGATTTACAAGCGTACCTGCCCCCACCATGCTAAATGTTTGACAGTTTTGGACCAAAACTGGCATGACCCCATATCCTACCCTCCCTATTCACTAACTCTTACCCCCAGAAACACATTTTCTGTTTCCACAATGAAAAGTCTTCAAAAGGAAACATTTTGCTGATGTGGAAGAGGTGAAACAAAAAAACAGAAGCACTAAAAGGCATCAAAATTGACAAGTTCGAAAACTGTTTCGAGCAGTGGACAAAATGTCTCAATAGGTGTACTGCATCAAATGAAGAGTACTTTGAAGGTGAATGAAGTTTAAACATGTAAGAATAAATTCACAATTTTTTATAAATAAATTCCAGTTTTAGGGGGTTTCTCTTTGAATGTATTATCTGAACTACCCGAATAGCTTGCCCCTTTACACTTTAATATTTAGTGTGTATTTCATAAGAATAAAAATATTCTCTTAAATAATGACAGTACAATGATCAAATTCAGGAACTTAACTAGCATATTACTATTACCTAATATATGTTTTATTTCATCAACTGCCCTAACAAAAGCCCCTTATTGTTCATTTTTATTTTTAAATGAAGAAATTGGATCAAGTTTCTTGATGCCATTTCTTTCTTTTTTTAAGATTTTATTTATTTATTTTTAGAGAAAGGGGAGAGGAGAAAGAGAGGGAGAGAAACATCAATGTGTGGTTGCCTCTCACATGCCTACCACTGGGGACCTGGCCTGCAACCCAGGCATGTGCCCTAACCAGGAATTGAACTGGTGGCCCTTTGGTTTGCAGGCCAGCACTCAATTCACCAAGCCACACCAACCAGACCTTCATCATTATTTTTTAAACACAGGGTCTAGTTAGGGTCTAAATGGTACATCAATTGCATGTCCCCAGTAAATCTAGCATGTTTCTTTTTTTAGATAGTCATCTTTCTTCTGCATGACAAACACTTTGAAGCTAAACTTCCATCTACCCTTAACCTACTGAAGGTAAAGTGGAACATTCTAGGCAAGATTGAGAAATATTAATATCAATATCTATCTTATTATTCCCTGTTTATAGTCTTTTCTATTTAGAGCCTTCTCCAAATTCAGGGAGCCAATACTCTAAAACCATTATACCTTTTTCACTTCTTCATGGTTGCCCATATTATATATCTATGTGTGTGCATGAGTATGTGTTTGTGTATGTGAAAAGACAAAAGAGATAGCTGCTCACTATTTGAGTAACTGAATTAATTAACATGTAGTCTAGTCACAGGTTCTGGAACTTCATTCAGGCCCACTCATCCTGCAGATCAGCAAATGGGCTCCAGGATGACATCTATATGCAGGTATACCAGTTGCCTTACTCAAATAAGCAAACCAAGGGAAATGGAAGCTCTGGAAAATCAATGAACATGAAAAGCAATGGGCATTGAGGGGTTTCAATCTGTAGTAATCTGATATATGCAGGGTCTGGCAAAAGTAACGCTTGCTTGAGTGTGGTTGGTAGAGTAATATGGGTATAATAAATAATCGTTTTAATTTGAACAGTTCACTTGAAATGCCATATGGTATGCCTGAGTATGACATTGTTATGATATAAAATTACAAACTAATGATTTTATAATAAAAGATTTTGTAATAAAAAAGGGGTATTACTTATGCCGGATCCTGCAGATTTTTTAAAGGTCTTCCTACCTTAATGCAAACAGATCCTGGATAAATAAAAACCAATGTACTTTTCAAACACTGTTATGTTCTCAAGAAATTATTAAGGCTACTTTTACCCATATAATGGTAGCCAAAAGAAAAAAAAAAACTTCTTAAAAGTGAGTTGATATATCAGAGGAAATAGGGAGCAATAAGTAAAAAAAAACTTCTGATTTGAGTGTTGTCCTGGATATGCATGCTGGTAGTAGCACTGGGACCAGGAGACAGAGTACTAGGCCTGCTGCAGGGTGAGGGTTCAGATCAGCAGGAACTCTACCATATAGAAGCATAGACGCATGCTCAGGAAAGCACCCCAATTTAAGCCCCTGGGATTATTATCCAAGATGAAGAGGAACCAATTATGAGCCTATAATATAAAACAGGGGTCTCCAAATCCCAGTCACAGAATGGTACTGGTCCCTGGCCTACTAGGAACTGGGCTGCACAGCTGGATGTGAGTGGCAGGTGAGTTCATGAAGCCTGGCTCACATTATCACCTGAGCTCCACCTCCCCCACCATCACCTGAACCAAAATTGTCAAAAGCTGGGGACCGCAGATATAAAAGATGAAACCTAAAGGCAGCAAGCCACCAACAGTGAGTCAGCAGAAATAAAAAAATAGTTTCCAACCATCCAAGGACTTTATATTATGATTACCCAAAATAAACTTTTAAAAATTAGTGTAAGCAATAAAAGATAAAACATGTCAAGCAAAAAAAGACCATGAAAATGGCACTGCATTATTTGGAAAAGAAAACAGAATTTACTCTTTATTTTAGAATAGTTTTAGATTTACAGAAAAATTGTGAAGACAGTAGCCTCTTCGTAGCCTCTACACCTAAGTTTCCTGGATTATTACACCCTAGAGTAGTGTGCTATATTTGTCTTAATTAATGAACCAATATCAACACATGAATAACTAAAGTCCACCATTTATTTAGATTAGACAAAATTTAAAGAGAGAATCAGTTAACTTGAATATAAATCTGAAAAATTATTTAAAAGAAGTGCTGAAATAAATAGAAAATGCCAAAGAAGCTAAAGATATGAAGAATAAAATGAGATCTGACATACATTGTCTACTCATAGTCCCAGAAAATGAAGAAAGAGGAGGTCAAACTAAGAGAGAAAATGAATTAACTTTCTGGAACCAATGACAGACAATTATCCACAATTCTAAGAAACACAACATATATAAAAGAGGCTGGAGGAAAAAAGAAATTCACACCTAGTACACACAGCACTGCAACTGCAGGACATGAAAGCAGAGACCATGGGAAAAGCAGCCAGAGGAAGGGAGTGAAATGACAGCAGAGTCTCAACAGGGATAGTAGAAACATGGAAGGTAGGACAGTGACAAGCACCTACAAAGGACTAAGGCAAAATGGTTCTACCACCAAACTCTGGGGAACACAGAAGGCATTAAGACATTGCCAGATAAGCTAAAAGCAAAGCCCTTTACTTCATGACAATCTAAGAGACGTTTCATAAAAGAGTAGAATCCACACATCCACATCCTTTTCATAGGAGGATGATCTGAAGGGCAAGGAAAGACAAGCAGCATGCAAATAAAATAAACATTTTACTAAAATAAACATTTAACTAAATAAACATTGTCTGAATTAAGTAACTGTAAATAGTCTTATTAGGATATTTAAATAAAAACAGTTTTCAGTATTAAAATGTAGAACAAAGGAACAGAAGCATACAATACAGAAAGGACAGGGATAAAGGAGAGGAGTTAAGGTGTAAATCCATGCATTGTTCAGCAGATGAATTATGATCCATTTAACCTTAGACTATGTAGCACTGTCAGAAGGGCAATCGTAAAAGAAAAGCAACAAGAGGGAATAATTTTCAAACTGGTAGAAGAGAAGACGATAAGAAATTAACTAAATCAATTACACTAAAAAGGCTAGGAAAGAAAGAAATAACCAGGACTATCAGAATGCACAAAGTAAGACAGTCCATATATAGAAATAATCAGAACAAATGTATATGGACAAATTCAGGAGATAAGAGACACATACAAAATAAAAATACTGATAGAATGAAGCAGAAATATGAAAAGGGACATACCAGGAAAATATAAATTTTAAAAAGCTGGGATTAGTTATAATAGCAAATACCATTATTAAGGAAAACAAAGGAAATGATACAAGGTTCAGTTCAGTAAGCAGATACAAAACTCTAGGTTTGCATGCTTAATAAAGGCTAACTTTATGTTCTGCCCCTGCCCACCTGCTCCAACATATAGCAGCCTCAGCAAAAAAGACAACAAAGACAACTCTGTTCCTAACAGACTTCCAGCTGGGATGGTCACACTGGTAAAGGAAGCATCCATGTGCCAAACCAGTCAGCTGGATGGATACAAGATGAACTGGAAGATGATTTTACCAGCTGGCACAACAATTAACAACATGCATAAGGCAGCTCCAACTGCTCACTGCATCCTGCCCACTGCTCCATGGGCTGCTTGGGAACTCAGTGATTGACCAGAGTAATCTTCCCAAATCGCTACCCTACATAATGCTTCTAGGGAACCCAACTTGTTCCCTAGCTGTAAGTCTCCACCAAGGAATTCTTTGGAGGATTAAATATCAGTGCAATGCATTTATCATGTGAACCAAGCACTCCAGAGAACCTGACAGGTTCTGATGATGCTGAGTTTGAGAACCTGGATTCCCTGCTCAGTGTCTTGAGCTTCATGAAGGGTCTCTATACAAAAGAATTCCCATGGACATGGCCAATCAAATGCAGGATAAAGACAAGAATAACTAAATATTCATTTGACTGAAAAAGAAATCAGGATTCTGACAAAACAGACTGTGGGAATTGTACTGCCACAGAGAACTCTGATGAGTATGCACCTAGGAGAGATGACAACAGCTCTGAAGGCAAACGGCAATAGTTACAGAGGCGAAGACTGCTGTGATGACTGAGACTGCAGAGGCTATGGCAGAGGCCAAGACTCCAGGACACTCAGTGGCAGATGTGCCCGTGGTAGTGGTACTATGGAGCTGATGACTACAGAAGAAGAAGACAGCTAGGAAGACCAATAGGACAGATAGGTCATTCAGTCACGGATGATCACAGGTTGATGACAGACGTCCTTCTCAAAGACCCAAATTTAACCAAAGCTTCAGAGTACTACTAAGGAAGATGACTCCTCCTCTGGTGCTTCCCAGTCTAGGCAAGTAGTTTGTCCCTGGAGGAGCAAAGCCTGTTGACCCTGCTGTGGGACAACAGGAACCACAAGAGCAGCTACCAAAGGAACAGGAGAAATCCATCCTTATCTAGTGGAACCAAAAACTAGAATGACTGGAACTACAAAGTGAACAAAGTGAAGACACTCAGGAACAGGAATGGTCAAGGACACAAGTAAGTCCTTGGGAACTCAGTCCCATATGTCAGAAGTCAGAACAGGATACTCAAAAGAGAAAGAGTGAGAAGTCTCTGGCAGATGAAATCCTCAGTAGCGCAGAAGACTGGCACTCTTCAACTCTAGGCCTCCCAGACCTGATCAGCCGCCAATGGTAATGCTGGCCTCTTCATCACAGGAGGATGTGTGGGTGAAGTGCTCATCCTATCCTTCTGCTTGATGTCAGAGTAATGATCCACTAAGAGTGATGAGGAAGTGGCTCCAGCTCAACCATTTCAGGAAGGATCAACCTAGAACGATGCAAATCAAGTAGATGGGTGAGTGTCACAAGAGTAGGGACTCTTATGGTCCAAGAGGTAGAGGGAACAAAGACTATGGAAGGAGTCTGAAAGGAAGCATGGCAAGGAGGATCAAGACTCCAAATCTGTACCTGAGCCAAAGAAACCTGAAAAATCCAGCCTTTAAGTTTAGTGCTTTAAGTGTGCTACTCTTTAAGCTGATGAAGACCAACACTAGGGGAAAGATTATACATAATACATTTCTACAGCCTGTGCTTTCTCCAAGTCTTTCTCTACCCTGGAACATTCTTGGGCAAATCAAATCTCTGTCCTGACATTTCCTGGGGAGAAAAAAAAAAACCCTTAAAAAAACTGTTAGAACTACATGAAGAAATTGACAAATTGGTTATTGTCATGGGCAATTTCAACACACTCCAATTTTTTGTAGATCAAGTGGACCAAGAAAATAACTATGAACAAGCAAAATATAATGAACATACACAGAATCTTATATTTAACTATTAGAAGTAAACTTTCTTCACAAGCATACATGAGACATACAGAAAAACAATATACACAATAGGAAATAAAAATCACACTGGATTTCAAATATATAGCATGTTGTTCCCAGTCTCTGACCCTAATACAACTAAGTTAAAATTCAAAACTAAAAGATAAATTTTTAGACATGTACTCAGAAGACTATAGAACACTGGAGAAAGAAATTAAGGAAGATACAAATATATTGGAAGCACATACCATGTTCATAAATTGGAAGAATTAACATCATTAAAATGTCCATACTGCCCAAAGCAATCTACAGATTCAACACAATTCCTATCAAGATTTCAACGACATATTTCATGGAAGCAGAACAAATATTTCAAAAATGTTTATGAAACCAAGAAAGACCCAAATAGCCTCAGCAATCTTGAGAAAGAAGAACAAAGTAGGAGGGATCATAATACCTGATATCAAACTACACCATAAGGCTACTGTAATCAAAACAAAGCCCAGAAATAAATTCATGTCTCTATGGTCAATTAATATTTGACAAAGGGAGCATGAGATACAATAGAGTAAAAATAGCTTCTTCAATAAATGGTGTTGGGAGAACCAGACTGGTACATGCAAAAAAAAAAAAAAAAATGAAACTATACCACCAACTTATACCATACATCAGAATAAATTCAAAATGGATAAAAGACTTAAATATAAGCCACGACACCATAAAAGTCCTAAGGAAAACAAAGGCAGTAAAACTTCAGATATCTCAAATAGCAATATTTTTACTGATATATCTCCCAGGGCAAGAGAAATAAAGGAAAGAATAAACAAATAGGATTATATCGAATTAAAAAGCTTCTTCATGGCTAAATAAACCATCATCAAAATGAAAAGGGAACTGATAATATGGGAGAACTTAATCGCCAATGATACATCAGACAAGAGTTTGATCTCCAAAATGTATCAAGAACTCATACAACTCAACATCCAGGAAGACAAACAATGTAATTAAAAAATGGACAAAGGGCCTGAATAGAAACTTCTACAAGAACACACAGAGGGCCCACAGACATATGAAAAGATGCTCAATGTCACTAGCCATCAAAGACACAAATTAAAATCACAATGAGATATAACCTCACACTGGTCAGAAAGGACATCATTAACAAATCAACAAACAAGTGATGGCAACCACGTGTGGAAAAGGGAAACTCTTGCACGGTTGGTGGGAATGCAGAGTAGTGCATCCACTGTGGAAAACAGTATGGAAATTCCTCAAAAAACTAAAAACGGAACTGTCTTTTGACCCAGCAATTCCACTACTGGAAATACACTCTAAGAATCCCAAACCACAAATTCAAAATAACTTCAGCACCCTTATGTTCATAATACTGCTATTTCCAATAGCCAAGTGCTGGAAGCAAACTAAGTGCCCATCAGTAAATGAGTGGATCAAAAAACTGTGGTACACAGGGGCTGTAAGCACCCACTGAGTCTGCGGACACCAGCTCGGGAGAGTTAAGATTCGTGATGTGAGGGGCCCTGACCCCAATAGTCCCCAGTCTGGCTGGAGAATTGGCTGTGCTGGAGAACTGGCTGTGCTAGAAGCCAGGCCACTGTACAGAGCAGCAGGCTTGAGTAGGAGGAATTTCTCAAAAAGAAAAAGTGAAAAGAGAGACACTGTTTGGGGAATTCTCCTCCAGCAATTGTTCTGGCCTACTCCCTCCCTAGCCAGGTAGTGATACTGAGGTTGCCTAGAAGGTTGCATGGAAGGCCCTGCACACCCACATAGCACTGGGAAAGGCGCGCATCCAAACCTGTAGGACCGAGGAAGCCTGGCCAAGAGCACGTGCGCCTACACCTCAGCCCACAGCGGTAACCCCAAGGAAAATGCACTCTCAGGAAGGCCTGTATCCTAAACCCAACGCGCCTGGGAGAGGCCCCAGAATACCTCTGGAGAGTGCATCCTAGGATGACTGAGCACAGATCAGGAAGGGGAAAAAAAGCCATACCAATCACCCCTCACCCAGATGCAGCCAGCAAGACCAGAAAAACCAGTTTGGCCAGTTTGAAACCAACAAGAGCCCTTTTTATTTAAAGTAATTTTTAAATCTTTATTATTGTCTATCTTTCAATTCCTTTTTCCTCTGTTTCTTTGTTTCTTGTTTTCTTCTTTCTTCCTTGATTCCCAATTTTATCTCTTCTTTCTTCCTTCTTCTGCTTTTTTTTTAATACCCGGAAGTGAAACAAAAAAAAACCCCTGGAACTGTGAAAAGACCAGAGTTGGACCAAAAGAGGGGGCATCCAAACAGCTGAGTCAGTGTGACAAATTTCACTTTGCTATTACAGAGAACCTGCAAGTCACTGCATATTTGTATTATTATTTTTCCATTATTCTTACATCAATGATTTTAATAGTATTTTTGTATTCCTCTTCTTTCTGTTTAGTCTTCTTTGCTTGGCTGGTTATATTGTATCTTTTGAAATATTTCCCCTGTTCTCTCTTTCATAGTGTATTGCTAATTTACTGTCCCTTACTTCACTCCTGTTCCATTAGCACACTACTAAAGGTCCTATACTCCCTATTCTTGTTATCCAGATCACATAGATTCTGTCATATGATTGTTGCTCTAATATTACTGTAAATAACAGCTATTCCATACAATTGTAAATACTTCACAACATCCATCCCAGACCTTAGCCCACTTCACGGTTTCCTGAACTCTATTATTGTAGTGGTTAACTCCATTCTCTCACACACTACAACTATTTACTGTCCTTTACTCTCACCCTACCTCAGAATCTGACCTCCCACAACCTCACTGCTTTATAGATCCAACTCATAGTCCTTCTCTCCCCAACAAGAGTCTTACCTTCTTTCCATCCTTTCCAAAAAGTGGCTAGTTGGGTGGAAGATCACGGTTAACACTATACCTACCCAAAGGATCTCCTATCTCTTCTCTACCAGCTGCCAGTGTAAATATCACAGAATACTTTCCTGCTGTCTTAAACCATTTTGTCTTCCCCCTCCTGCTGATCACAAAAAAGAGTAAGTGGAAACAGTGAACACCAGGATACCCACTGAAAGAGGAAACCCAACAACAAAGAAACCACCAACAGATAACAACAGAAGAAGGTGAAGGAGGGAGTGGAAACCACACAAAACCTCAATCCAGGACCTTTCTGGAAATACAACTGAATAGTACAGAAACTACCCAGTACAAACAACTGATCAAAAGCAAGAAAGAATCCCCAAAACCCTGTACATAGGGAAGAACCAGCTTCAACAAACCCTGCCCTTAACAGCACAACAAAATACAACAGGTGGTGGACAGAGTGACTCTCAGTTAACCAGCTGGTGGGAAAGACCCAACAAAGAAAGACCAAACAACAATCAAAACCCAAAGACAAACACAGAGCCAACTTGAACAACAGCCCAAGACCAGTAAGCTTGGGAGATCAAGGAGATTGAACCACTGAATCTCACAGGTATTCCATCAAAGAAGTTCACACCATAAAACCAGGGAGACAGAATAGATCAATTTAAGAAGCTGAGGCTAACAAGAATAATCTCACAAACAATGAGAAGACAAAGAAACAATCCACAAATGAAATGAAATGAAAAAGCCCCAGAAGGAATGCTAAATGAAATAGAAGCAACTCAACTATCAGATACTGAGTTCAAAGGAATGATTATCAGGAAGCTCAATGAGCTCACAATGAGCTACCAGAAACTACAGGGAAGCTACAATGAATTCACTGCAAACTATATCAACATGAAAAAGGAAATAGAAACTATCAACAGGGGAAAGAGGAAACAAAGAATACAATTTCTGAAGAACACAGTAGAAGAAATGAAAAGCAGGACTGATGAACCAGAAGATCAGATCAGCGAGCTAAAGGACAAAGTAGGAAAAAACACCCAGAAAGAGCACGAGAAGGAAAAGAGGCTCAGAAAGAATGAAAAAGGACTAAGAGAAATGCAAGACAATATGAAACGTAGTAATATCCGTATAATAGGGATACCAGGAGGAGAAGAAGAAGAGAAAGGGATAGAAAACCTATTTGAAAAAGTAATGATGGAAAACTTCCTTAATTTCATGAGAGAAAAAGTCACACAAATCCAGGAAACACAGAGTCTCATTCAAGAGGAACCCAAAGAGGCCCACTTCAAGACATATCATAGTTAAAATGACAAAATACCAACACAAAGAGAGAATCTTAAAAGCAGCAATGGAGAAACAGGAAGTAACATATAAGGGAGCCCCAATAAAGTTAGCAGCTGATGTCTTAATGGAAACACTCTAAGGCAGGAGAGAATGCCAAGAAATATTCCAACTAATGAGAACCAGAGGCCTGCAACCAAAGGTATTTTACCCAGCAAGGCACTCAATCATTATAGAAGGCCAAATAAGGAGCTTCCCACACAAAAGAACTCTAAAAGAATACTCCTCCACCAAACCAGCTTTGCAAGAGATGCTAAAGAGACTGCTTTAAAGAAAGGA